GATAGTTCGTTCAACAGAGTTGGATCACCTTCCACCTCATCTGGTTCATCGTCCAGATATTAAGGACATCAGCGTGAGGGACAACATCCAAATGATGGTGATAGTGATCGGCTTGCTGAGCTGTTGATGACTGCTCCTCGGACTGCTCCTCAGAATCCGTATCATATGATTTACCTTGTAAACAAATTTAGTTTGTGAAACAATACATACCTTGCGACATATTGATTCTCTTGAGTGGCGATGAACTTATTACCGGTTCTGAGGCTTCACGTTTTTGAACCGAAGGCCCACGCACCTCATTGAAGTTGTTGGGTGTACTATTCGAGATAGTACGCAAATCCATTGGGATGGCTGGTGATTTCGTTTCCTCTGGTTTTCGAGGAAGTACTAGATTGATTGGTTTTGTAGAATCAGCACTCGTGTGACCAGTCGATAAATCCAGTGGATGTTCTTCAGCGAACAAAGTGGTTTCGATTGAAATGTCCAACGGATTACTCAATTCCATTCGAGGATCACCTCGGGCGTGGATTGGAGTCGACACATCAGTGTCCACCCGGCTAAAGCTCCTCCCCTTTTCAGGTTTTCTCGTTAAACTCCTTCTCTCAACAAGTTGATAAATCTTAGCCTTTAGCAGAAAGACGCTTAACACTTTTTTCGGCGAATTTATGATCCTGTTTCACGTCATGGTTCTTCTCTATGCCTTTTCAGATAAATTAGTAATTTTATTCATTTTCTCTACTGCACTAAATCAAACGAGTAGAAATAAGAAGCGATGTCGGTTACGCGCTCGCATAATTGAAAATTCGATAAATATTTGATTAGCTGGAAAAACCTTCACGATTAATCGTTAATCGAATAATTGGACTTTTAGGCATCCCTAGAAAATAGAGTAATTCCATGTTTTTGGTGGTTCTTCGAAAATGTCGAACAGCAGAATTGCAACCAGCAACTGTAACCCAAAAGTGGTGCGATGCTAGTTTTCATTGCTATAACGACGACTAAATTAAGAGGCTTAGAGCACCCGCACCACGTTGCTAAAGCTATTTTAGCAACCTCCACCATAACGCAGTAACTGCACTGGGGGTTGCTATTCAAGTGCGGGAAATAACAATCTGCCTATCGGTGAACAGCGGGTTGACAAATATAGCAACACGATAACAAACGTTGCTATCTATGAAATGTTTGTTTTGTTTTTCATTTGAACATTGTGATATTTGAATGAATTTGTATCTGGGGCAAAAATGTCAACCCAAGGGACAGCAAAGCATTCCTCTGGAAGACCCGAAACATCCATAAATGCGGAAAATTAGTAAAAAAGGATCTAGATTTTTTATTCAACTTGTTGTTATGCTGCATGAATGAATTTGGATTTGAAACCAGTATGAACATAATCTGATCGTTGCTGAAGTTCTTGCATTTTTTTGCAGTTTTTTAAACTGCATTGAAAACCATGGAACTCCCTTAAAATGATGTCTCATTTTCATGATGCTCATGTATCATCTCTTAGATGAAATTTCGGAAATTCCCTGAGTTTCTTGGAACTTCTTAAACATTCTCCAATTTCCTTGAAATTAGTTGAACTGCTCTTAGTTTCTCTGATCAGTCCTTCTGATCTCGAAGCATTCCTGAAGTACTCTCCATTCTATTGAAGTTCTTGGTATTACCAACCGGTAGAAACTGACGATTTTAAATTGGTTCCCTACTTGACTAGCCAATTAGTCCCAAGCAAATCGATTAACGTACCTCATTCTAGTCAAAATTCTAGTACTACACAATGTTTGTTATGATTTGCTATGAAAGCTTGACAGATAAAATGAGGGGTTAGTGGATTTTCCTATTTTTCGAAGGGTGAATCGATTAGCTTGGGACCGAAAATAGTACCAGAGCTGAGCCAAAAAGTTGAGCACGTTTCTTCGGGACCTACTAGCCTTAGAGTTACCTCTATGGTATTACCAACAATCAATACGAAACTAACGATTTTAAATTGGCTCACCACTTTAGTAGCCTATTGGTCCCAAGCAAACGATTAACGTACCCTATTCTAGTTGAAATTCTATTACTACACTATGTTTGTTTTGATTCGCTATGAAAGTTTGACAGATAACATCAGGGGTGTGTGGATTCATGCAGAACATGCAGGGGTGAGTGAAATAGCTTGGGACTGCTTGGGACCGTTGTTCTGGTACTGAGTGAGCCAAAAATAATAATGATTTTCTTCGGGACCCAGTCGTCTTAGAGTTACCTCTATGGTATTACCCTGAACTAAATAGAACTGTCAAAAAAAAATCTCGAAGTTTTTCTGAAGTTTATGGAATTGACCGGAATTTACCGTACCTTACCCATACAAATCTTCGAACTTAAGCCGCGAGTATTCGGCCCAACTCCTACTAGACATAGAATTAAGTGAATTTTGTTACAAACAAAGAACAATGAACTATCGGCTCCGTAAAGCTAACGCGATTGAGCCTTCCAAGTAAACGAACTAGTAAAAAAAATCTTCGAACTTCCCTGAAAGTCTGGAATTTCTTGAATTTCACGAAGCTATGACGTTATTGGAAGTGCCGTTAATATCTCTGAAATTCTCTAAAGCTCTCTAGTCAAACTTCTTTGAGGTACTTAGAAGTTCTCTAAAATGTCAATTTTCCTCAAGTTTCCACATCTCTGAAATTATTTTGACATCCCTGAAGTTCTCTGGATATCCCTGAATTTCTCAAATTTTCTTAAAAGTCCCTGCAGTTTCCTGAAGTTTTTGGAACCACTTTGAAAGTCCTGAAATTTGCCTGAAGTTCACCAAAATTTTCAGAAGTTTCCGGAAATTACCTTTTGTTCCCACAGTTTACCTATAAAAATTCCTGAAATTCTCAGTACTTCTTTTCATTCCTCAGACTCTCCTGAAGATCTCTATTGTTTCCTGGAGTTTACGGAACTTGCCTTTTGTTCTCCTGATGATGTTCCTGGAATTGTTCAGAAATTAATGGAACTGCCCAGAAGATTATTTAACTTCCCTTTAAACATGGATCTTGTGTGTAGCTTTGTTAATGTTTTTAAGTTCATTCCCTGAAGTTTTTTTAACTATCCTTAAATTTTCGGACTTCTTCATGGTTTACTTTATTTTACTGAAATAAATGGAACTGCCATAAAGTTCTCGAAACGAACCTAAAGTTTTAAGAACGTCCCTCAAGTTCTCACAGTTTTCCTGATATTCATGGAACTGCCCTAAAATTTTCAGAACCTACCCGAAGTTCAAGTAATTTACTCATAGGTCTTTGAGCTTAAATTTTCCTGAATTTAATGGAACTGCCCTGAAGCTCTTGATCTTCGCTAAAGTAAATTTTCCTGGAATCTATTAGATTGCTTTGCTTAAAGATCTTTTAACTCCCTCACATTTCTATCAATCAGAACGTCTTAAAGGTTTCAACATTTTCACAAATTGTTGTCAAAAAAAAAAAAACAAATTTCGCAAGCTCAAATATGTAATTTACCAATCCAGATTGGCATCCGAAAATGCCTTTATGCCTTTTGGTGCGCAACTTTTATAAGATGAGCATACGAAGATCGATATTTCGATAATTTTTACGCATTGACAACTTTTATGGATGTTCCAGATCTCCCAGAGGACAGTTTCGTGACCACCAGTTTACGCAGTCGCTGGGCTATTCGGATCTTCCGGAGGACCGTTTCTTGAGTACCTGGGTCTGTAGTTGAATCTTAACCTTCAATCTTCAGTCTTCGTGGTTAGGTATATCAATACTCTGTGATCAATTTCAGTTCGAAGCTCGACGATAAGTTTAGCAACTATCGGTGCGAAAGCCGAAAACGTATAAAGTCAATTTCCTCTTTTGATGACAATGGCTTCACTAACCTATTTCACACTAATTCTGCTATGCTCTTCTGTCATCCAGAACAACAATCGCATCAATGAATGCATTTGCCATCGAGTTATTAACGAAAAAGAAAGTCGATGAAGAGAATCGATCAAAATCACTTGCACTTGGTTACCAAATTTCAACTCTGAATATGGCGATGAGTGTGTCAAATGTTACTCAATTGCATCCTCCCTATTCTTACACGCCCGGAGACCGAAGACGAATGCCACTTCGACATGTTTCGTCTAGAAACGATTCTCTGATGACTGTGTTGGGGAAGCAGCATGTGCATGTACGCAATTGGTGGATTTGTTAGTTATTTCGACGCTTTTGGACAATGCTTGACATTTATCACCTTTTCAATAGTTTCTTGTTGAAAACTAACAGTCGGAAGTGCGTAGAAATATTTCTGATCGATTGGTGATAAAATTATTGAAATTGGTCCAGGGGCAGCTGAGTTATTAACGTTCAAAATATTTCATAATTTCGTTACATGTTCCATTTTCGGTTTTCACAAAGTGTACCCCCATATTGAAATCACAGACGTAGTCCTACGACAAAAAAACAAGGTCAAACCCTAATTAGGCTTTCAATCATTCCAGTTACTGCAAAAAATTGCAAATGTGGTTATCAGCAAATGTTAGTTCATCCTTTCCAACCGTGCTAATTGTTAACACCAGAAACATATTCCGTGAGCATCGTCCAAAACACTGGCTCACCTTCACCGCGATCGTATTCTCTCACGACTCACCCCTTTAGAAAAAAAACGATCCACTTTGCTCACGACCACTTGTTAACTCAGAATGTTTACTATTTACAAACGGCCGTTTCGTTGGTCGGTCGGTCGATTAAAAATGTGCATGACAACCGGTCTAGCAACCGCGTGGTTTCCTTAGAACGTGATAAACATAGAACATAGAACAGAGACTCTCTTCCACTACTCACGCGGCAACACCACCCCGACCCGACCCTATCAGCAGGCATCCACCGTTCGCAGCGTAAACCACTTTTCGATGAAATTAGTTCGCTGCGCTCGGGTTAGCTTCCTCCAACAGCAGCGACTTGTTGCGGCTCGTCGATCTTCGTCCGGTCGGTGGTGTAGCATTATTTTATTCTCTCAGTTGTATTTTTGACGCGGTCGCTGTTGGACGCGAATTGTCCTAATCGTTTTTGCGATTGTTGTGTATGATTTTGCTGTTGTTTATTTTCGCTTTCGTGATATGGATTCCGTGCCTTTAATTCACTTTGTTCTGTAATTGATGATACATATTAGCGAGTAAAGTGTTGAGGTTTGTTTTCGATCGTATTAAGAGTGTATACATTGGCAATCCACTACACTTGTTGATAGCGTGTTTGTAACGGTGGATGTGTTATTTAGTTTGATGTGTGGCTTGAGATTTGAGAATCATTCTACAGCAGATTTACGGTTCTAAGGTTTGTTTTAATTTTGTACATTTGAAAATTTGTATAGTGCAAGGTGCAAGTGGTGCTTTTAATTTAGTTTCGCGCATCTAGAACACTCATTGCATTCTACGTTTTATGACTTATCATTGTTTAAAGCCACAGATTTCGCAGTGAATAATCCATTCGAGTGTTTTCACAGTACGGAAGTGTACGGTTTCAGCGATAAAAGTGACAGACAAATATTGAATACCACTGTGTCATCGACAAAAAGCATCGAAGAATTCACAGCCAAACTCGAAATTGGTTAAGTGAATCAATTGAAACGGTTGACCCCCCTACTGTGAACCCGTGCGAAAAAACCTTCTTCGAGCAAAGTCTGCTGCAATAGAGTCGTCTGCCTATTCGCTTTTTGCGAGTTAATTAGGGTGATATTGGTGAGGTGTAACACAGTAGAATTGTGAAAGCCATTTCTTCCGGGAAAGTGTGGCTTTCAGTGTTACCGAGTATCGATTTTCTCTGTCTGTCGGGTAACTGAATTGAACCGAGAGTCGTACAAACTGCAGAACCAGTGGAGTGGTGCCTTCGCAGTTACATACTTGTGCAGTGTGCTAAGTGCGATTCATGACGACAACAGTGGTGACACGTGTGTTTGTTTGTAGCAGCTAGAAGAAAAGTGTAAGTAAATGTAAAACAGTAGTATGACGACTTGACTATGTTTCATCATACTGTGATTAGTTGTAGCTCTTTTTTTTCTGCCCTCATGCTCTTCGGACTTAGCTGCATAACTTAGCTGACTGTAGTAATCAAATCCTATGCACTTCTAGCTGTTTACTGCTGGCGGCATGCACTTGGCGAATGTTGTGCGTTCGAAGGCTTAGGAAGAGGTTATTCGATTTCTGGGTTTGACTTGTACTGTTGGGGGTAAGCAAATCGAATTCAATTGCGCTATTAATTTTAATGAAGGTTAGCATATTATAAGTTTATATCCGATGGTGTGTAGGGTATGATTATGCTGGTGGATTTTTGTTTTAAATAAATATCATGGGAATAAAATAAAAATATTATTGTATTACACCCAATATGGTACCAGAGTACTGCCATATTGAAACCTATACACTGAATTTGTTTACATGGGATTTTTGTTCATCTGTAGTTTTGATCGTTTGATTTAAAATTGCAAGTTGCAACAACAATTTAGTCAAACTTGAAAAAAAATCAAAGGAAAATATGGAGGTATTGAAATTACTGTACTCATTCGATGACACATTTAAAAAAATACGCATGAAAAAAACTTAAAAAAAAAACAATAAAATTGAGTGAAGGATAACAATAATGAAGAGCTGAAAACGATTGTAATGCCCATCCACGGTGCCAAAAATAATGTCTATTTCATGTTTTTTTTTTTATATCTTTATTAAGGAGACTTTCAGCCGTTGGCTGGCTCGTCTCCGGTCTATTTCATGTCTTCAAGCCAGCGGCGTAGTAACTTACTTACTTACTTACTTACTTACTTACTTACTTACTTACTTACTTACTTACTTACTTACTTACTTACTTACTTACTTACTTACTTACTAACTTACTTACTTACTTACTTACTTACTTACTTACTTACTTACTTACTTACTTACTTACTTACTTACTTACTTACTTACTTACTTACTTACTTACTTACTTACTTACTTACTTACTTACTTACTTACTTACTTACTTACTTACTTACTTACTTACTTACTTACTTACTTACTTACTTACTTACTTACTTACTTACTTACTTACTTACTTACTTACTTACTTGCTTACTTACTTACTTACTTACTTACTTACTTACTTACTTAATTAAGGGTCCAGTACACGGTGTAGTAATGGATTGGAAAACCATTAAGTCCATAAGGTTTCTAAACAGATGGGTTTTTTTTCTCAATAAAGCTTCACGCCATAGAGCAATTCCAGACGATATAGCAAAAAAATAATAATTTTTGAGTTGGCCTTCTCTGATTTGTATGAAACTTTGCGTAATTGTTTGCAATGGCCAATGACTCACGTTTTTTGCTATAATTCGGAAATTGAGGATCTTATGAAATATTCAAAATTTGGTGTTTGATTTTTTCCCATCGAAATGACATCTGCGAAATAGTTGTAGAGAAAAATATGGTCTCCTTGAAAAAAAAAAAAAAAAAAAAAAAAAAAAACAAACAAACAAACAAACAAACTAAATATTTACGAGAAAATTATTTTTTTAAATTATGAAAATTAAAATAAAACCAAATATCTCAAAATTTTCTTGTCTGATTTTTTTGTATTTTTTCAATTTTATTTTTTTTTTCTTTATTATTGCGATTTTCTGTCAGTTGGCTAGTTTAATTTTGTTTTTTTTTTTAACAAAAAAGTTTAAAATATGCAAACTTTTGGAATGTTCCAAACCATGAACACTTGAAAACTGAAAAAATCGTAGAACAAGTACTTTTTTATATTTTAACGTTCTGGTACTACAATTGTTTGCGTAATTTTTCACATAAAATGATTAAAAATGTGTCAACGATCGTTTTCTAAGCAAAGATATTTCGACAAAACGTTTTAATAAAAAAAAAAAAAAAAACAAAAAAAAATTGAAAGATGACAAAAAGTTCTTGTTTTGAGTAGTTCCGGCCAAATAGCTCAAACATATTTTTTTATACTCGTGCTTCTAGAATTCACATGGAAATTTGCATAATTGTTTTTTTTTATAAACAAGTATTCATATTTTGTAATTTTTTTTTTATTATTATAGTCGCTTTAACACTCTTGGGTCATTCGTGACTTATCCGGGGGTGAGATTTGAACTCGTGAATTTGGCGTGAGAGGTATGGATGTTAACCACTACGCCGGGGTCGCCCCCTATTTGTGTAATTGTAATTTTTAACATAAAAAAGCTTGCTAACAAGAAGTTTTCAGTGTTCACTCTGCTGTCGACAGAAGCAGGCCACCCTCGATGTGTATCACGTGATCGTCTGATTTTAAGGTGTTCCTCATTGTTCTTCATCAGCAGTTCTTTCAGTCGAGGCGTCGTCGACTTTGGAAAGCAACCGTTTCATGATGAATGTGTGACTGCTGACCACGTTTTGCGTCCATTGCTGCAATGGAAGCGCTCTGACCCCCGTTGGCAAATCTGCCATACAATGAAACCACTAGAAGTGGCTCCCGTTTTGGTGGAGGAGACATATTGGATAGCCGAAGATAAAATGTTTATTGTTTAAAGTTTCAAGATGTATTGTATAGTGAACAAGAATCCTCGGCTCTGTATGGTTAATTCGGTTGAGACTGATCAAATAAATTAATAAACAAAAAAAAACAAATAGTTTGAAAATATAATCAAAAATTGATGTTCTACGGTTTTTGTAAATTTTTAGGTGTCCATGGTTTGAAATATTTCAAAAGTTTTCATTTTGCATTGGATTTTTTCTAAACAAAATTTATTAAAATTGAAGATATGATTTTTGAGATATTTGATTTTTTATTGCTTTTTTGGAATTTTTACTCAAATCAACTAAAAAATACACCGTTTATATTTTTACCAAAAAGACTACAACTTCGTCTCAATCGTCAATTCGATCATGCTTCAATATATTGCAGAATGTAAAAGAAGCCATTTTGAAAAACAAATGGCAAGATCCAAAATGGCCGTTTATTTTGGAAAAATCTGAATGATTGCTTATTTAAAAGAATAATGCGAAGTTTCATGCAAATCTGAGAAGGTTGAGTTTTTTTTCCGATTCGGTTCGATTGCTGCATAGAAAAACCAGATATATCTTCATTTCGGAATTTCCAAGTTTTTGAGAAGACACAAACGACATTTTTCTAAAGTATCACAACTTCTAAAATTTCAAGCTTTCAAAAACTTGTTTTTTTGACGCAGGACTACATCTGTGATATCTATACACTTTGTGAAAACCAAAAATGGAACATGTAACAAATTTATGAAAGATTTTGAACGTTAATAACTCAGCTGCCCCTGGACCAATTTCAATAATTTTATCACCAATCGATTAGAAATATTTCTACGCATCTCATTGAAAATTAGACGAATGTGCAACTTTTGCTATGATAATTAAAATTATTACCGATTTCCTGCAAAAAGCGGTTTCCCTAACACAGATTTCAAAGTTGAATCCCATTCGGTCTCACCAAACGGTGTTTATTCATTAATCGCTTGGTGAGTGGTGGTGTTCTCCAGCACACAACGAAAAGCTGGTCGCACCGCAATTGATCGGTATTAGTAGCTCTTCGTGAGTCGCTGTGGCGCCAAGCGCGTCATACTAAAGAGTATAAACAGAGAGAACCCCGCTCAAATTCCTATTCCACAAAACACAAGCTCCTGCTGCAGTTAACAAATAAAATTTAATATTCAAGACCACGTAGTCCTACGTCACCATTGCGTACAACCCCATAGGGCTGTCCCAGGTAGTTTTTTTTAAATACTTGGATGCCCATCCAAACAAACTCTGGGTCTGAACTTCTTTGGAATTCTACTGCTAATGATAATATTTCATAGGAATTTTTCACAGCCTCCCTTAAGGAACCTCATATTGATTAAAGTGCTGTCAAACATTGTAACCAAGCGGTGCTGGTGGTGTAGTGGTAAGCGTGACTGCTTCTCACTTCAAAGGGCCGGGGTTCAATCCCAGTCGGGGCCGTTGGGGTTTTCGAAGGCATAACATCTCTGATCAGTAAAGGAAAGTAAAGCCGTTTGTCCACGGTCCATGACTTGATGGGTTGATAGGTAGGGTCCAGCTCCCACTGCCTCTCTGGCGTCGGTAGCATTGGTGCTCAGCAGGGAAAAAAAAGATCGACAGAAAAACAAATAAAGGAAAAAAAAAGAAACATTGTTATTCTTCTAAGAATTTATGTGGACCTATCTTCAAGATCAGATTCCCCTAGAATTTCCATAAATATTATCTTAGGTTTCTTGTTAGAATTCTATTGGAATTGTTGTTAGAATTTTCTTGAAATTATCATTACTATTTATTTGATATTTCGGTCCAATTTATTTTTGAATTCTTTTCAGAGTTCCTTTGAAATGCTCCTCAAAAATTTCTCCTTACAATCGCCGTAAAATGCTCTTCAGAATCGTTATTTTTTTCTAAAGGGTGTCCACGATGAAATTACCACACACAAAATTGATTCGCAAAATTCGAGTTTTCATCCGATTGCCATCAAATTTTCAGGGATTGAGAAATAACTATTAAACTTCATTTTACCATTTTACTCGTATTTTATTTACAGTCCATACGCAAATGCCCGCACATTGGCCTTAACCCCGGCCATAAGATTCTGCACAACCTGTGAATCAACCGTTTTTTGCATGTAAACCCATACTTTCTTCAGTTCCTCGACTGTCTTCACTACCTTAGGTCGTTTAAGAAGGTGCTGCTTCATAATCGCCCTGTACTTCTCGATGGGGCGGAGCTCCGGAGTGTTGGGAGGGTTGAACATTTTCGGCACGAAATTGACCTTATTGTCCGCATACCACTTCAGCACGTCCTTGGAGTAGTGGCATGAGGCCAAATCCGGCCAGAAGATTGTTGGGACGTTGTGGGCCTTCAGGAGAGGAAGCAGCCGCTTCTGGAGGCACTCTTTTATGTACACCTGTCCGTTCATCGTATCCTGGGTCACGAAAGGTGCACTCCGCTTCCCGC